AAGTTATATGATTGATATAATGAAAAGATCTAGTTTAATAAAATTAAATAAAACTTTATGTTATAAAGGTGAAAAAAGATTTTAATACTTAAATATTAAATCTATTTTCAAATATATAAAAATATTAATAATTTTTTTTAAAGTGTTTAACTTTGATATAGTAAAATTTAAGAAATTACTAATAGATTTTTTACTGAATCTAATTTATTGAAAATTAAAAAAGTAGATATTTTTAAAGAAATTAAAGTTTGATTTATTTTAGTTTTTTTTTAGACTATAAGGCAAAAATATCTTTATAATAATATTTATCTATTTGTGAAAGATAAATGTAAAGAAATTATTTATTTAAAATTAACTTATAGTAAAATATATTATAAAAGTATGAATTAAAATAAAATCAACTTTTTTTATATATTAATCAAATAAAAATTTCAAGTAGAGTTATCTTTTGAAAATCATTTATAATTAAAATAAATTCTTTGTCTAAAGATATTTTATGAATACTTTAAAAAAGAATATAATTATTATTCTTAATTATAATATGAAATGCAATTTACAAATGAAGAGAAAAAAAAATATTTCAAATTCTTTAAAAAACTAAAAAGCAGAAGGAAAAAACTTTAATTTTTATAATAATTTACATAGATATAATATTAATCTTTTTCTATTAATTGCAAAAGAATTATTATAATATTTAAAAAAAAATATATTAAATAATTTAATAATGGTTAGTACCTGTAAAAAGGAAAAACAAATGCTATTACTATTTCAAAAAACTTTGATAAATTTCTAAAAATAAGTTTATTAATTTTAAAAATAGAAGTAGATAAAAAAAGAGATTACTATTCTTTAATAGTGAAAATAAATTAGAGATAATTACTTAGATTTTAATATTTTTATTGATAATAATAATATAAAAATTACTTCATATAAAAGTAATTTATTATTAAACTTTATTACAAATATTCTTATTATATCTAGCATTTTAATATTTATCATATCAAACCACTGTTAGTGATTTAAAAAATGAAGATTTTTACTAAAATAGCAATAGAATATAAAAATACTACTTCAAAAAATTAAGAAAAGTTTAAATAGTAAGTATAACTTTAATTTTAGGTTTATAATTACTATGATTTGTATTATTAAAAGGACTAAAAAGAAAAAATAAATTAGCATGTAATAATGTGATTCATTGCATTTTATTTTTCTTCTAAAGATTTCTATTTTTTATTAGATAATAGTACGCCTTTATTCTGTTTCTTAATTTTTATTATTTTTCTTTCTTTTGATAAATTTTATTAGTAATCCTTTCATTTCTTAAATAAGTTTTTAGTGTCTAAATATTATTTATTTTGAAAATATAAGAAGCAAATTTTCATCTTATTACATTGATATTAAAAGTCATTATTGATCCCTGAAAATTTTGATAATACCAATGTTCACTTTGTTGGCATGCTCCTATATAATCTATTTTTAAATATAATCAAAATTATATACTATTTTAAGATTAATTACTGTATATTTTATTATTTCAACTTTTATTTCTATTTGTAAATAAAAAAAGGATACAGTATAAAAAAAAATATTTATAAAGCGCCAATGATACGGAATAAAGCGAGCTATACGCAGCAAATTGTTACACACACAGAGTTTTTACTGCAATACCGCAAACAATAATTCAAAGTCGTGCTTATATATATATACAATATATATATACATATTTTTTTAGATAATCCTCTAAGGAAAGAGTTAAGAAATCTGGGTTGAAAAATCAAAGTGTTTTTTTTCGTTTCTGTTCCCATTTAATTATTTGTTTTTACTTTTGAGTTCTTTTTTATTGCATCTTCCCCTTTTCTCATGGACGAGAACAAGTCACTACCTCTCCATGTTACAGGAATACTCATTTATCGTATACAAAGACAAGTTGAATTTTTATTTTTAAACGATACTTTTTCTCATAAAAGACATTGGACCGCACCGAAGGGTACAGTAATTCGTCAAGAAGACGAAGTAAAGTGAGTTTTATATTTATTTGAAAAATAGTTTAAACTAATTCTTCTACGCGCGTTATCTTAGATTTTTTTTCTACGCATTTTCACGTTGAAACTGATCTATTCCCTAATTTAATAAAGTTCCTCTTAAATTTGTTTTTAAATTTGTTCCAAGACAAATCGAATGATTTCTTTTAAAATGATTTGATCTGTAATCATTTTAAATATTACTTAAGTTACTAAATTTTTTATTTTAGATGCGCTCTTCGTAATACTATTGAAATCACTGGTCTTTCCGTAAAAGATTTAAGAATAGAAGAAGGTTTTAGAGCTGAAATAACTTATCTTTCCGGAACGCGGTAATTATCTATCTTTATAAATTGATATAACTAAAATAAAAAAAGGAATATTGAATGAATTTTTACACAATGATTTATATCAGACCCAAAAGAGTTGTCTATTATCTTGCACAAGTATCAGATCATGCTCGCGTTTATACTACTGGTGAAGGTCTTAACATCGCGTGGCTATCTATTAATAATGCTATGGAAAAGGCATTATATAAAAGCATGCAGGATGTTATCAAAAAAGCATCAATTTTTATTGAAAACCATAAACCTCCTAAAAATACTGAATCTTTACAAAGGTCTAGAATTGATAAACATCAAATCACCGGCGATAGGTTAGATCATAAAATGAAAAATTTAAATTTGGCTTTACCCTTAGATTCTCAACGTCAAGCAATGTCTGAACAAAGACTTAAGCTTGTACGTAAACAACAACGTCAAAATCAGAATCAATCCGAAAAGAATAGTGGAATTGTAAATGGAAATGGAAATAATGGTGGTAATGGACCAAATAATGGATTCGCATCACCACTTCACTCCCCTGTTATGCAATTTGAAAATCCACTTTATAAAACAAGATTATGTGAGCGTTTTGAAACTGAGGGGTATTGTCCTTATGGCCCAAAATGCACTTTTGCCCATGGCACCGTTGAATTAAGAGAAAGACCGGCAAATGCAGAGGAGAAGATTGATACATCCCCTACCGCAAAAGATGGTCCAGATAATCCTTTATATAAAACTCGTTTATGTGAAAGATTTATGAAAGAAAGTTTTTGTCAGTATGGGCCTAAATGTAATTTTGCTCATGGGGAACATGAATTAAGGGATAGACCTAATAATCCCGCCACGAGTAATCCTCGTGGAGGTGATAATGGTAGTGAACGCAAATCTCCTGAACCTCATCGTCCTATTAATAATCAACAATATTCTTCTCAACATCAATCTGAACAACAACATCATGGTCGTTATCAGCATCCACATCATCAAGCACGTCTTAATGGTAGTAATAATATCGAGCCTGAAAGGAGGACTATTCCCGTAAGTCCCGGAGGATTTCGTTCTGAAATCCAGAATGGTATTTTAGGACGTATTCCGATTATTGCAAATTCTGATTCACATTCTACAGTACATAACAGGTAATTCATTATATATAAATTGTTTTTTTCTTTTATATAAAGGGGAGGTTAACATAATTATAATATAATCAATCATGTAAGTTGTAAGGTTAATGTGTAATATAATACTCAATTATCATCTTAATTAGATGTATATTTGTAATATATCATATACTCATTGTATTATGTATGACAGGCATAAAAGCCTATCAAATGTCATTACTATATATACTTTTTAAGACTGTTTGTCGTTCTGTCTTTTTAGTGCTCACGTAGAAGAATCAAAACCCGAAACGCTTGAAGAAGATATAAAAGTGGAAATATTACCTGAAGAAATTAGAGAGGAAGTTGAACATGAGATCAAAGAAAAACATAATGAATCCAAAGAACATGAAGAACATCGTGAGGTAAAGGATAGTAAGGATTTATCCGTTACTCCTTCCACTGTGTCTGGTAAACCCATAAGCAGCTCTAAACGTCGTTCTGGTAAAGATATTATCAGTGTGGATGAAAAGGTGATTTAATTGATTTAATTGTATAAAGGTTATCTATTATAATACTTATTCTTTCATTTATTAATGTAGCCATGGATGCAAGTTGTAGAACTTTCTAATGTTGAACTAGAACAATTAGGAAAGATGTAAATATACATGGACGATCGATTATTTCCCTTTCTATGAAATTAATATTAACAAATGCTTTCTCTTAACCCTTAACTATATTTTAGTAAGAAGATAGATCATGCACCTTCATCCGATAGTAAACGCTCTCACGATGATATTATTATTGCAGATTTGAAAAAATTTTTTGTTCAATCAAAAGAACAAAATAAATCAATATCAGATGAAATTAAAGAAATTACTTTAATTGAAACAAGAAAAGATTTATCCAAATTCCAATTATTTAATGTTTTACTTCCAAGTATGTACGATGATATGTCATGGGATGTTGTTAATAAAGATTTAGTACAAAAAGAAAAATTATTTAAAACGGTATGAATTCGTTTTTAATTATCGCAATATTTCTATGAATTTTAATTATTAATTATTAACTTATATTTATATTTATTTTTATATATTTTTAAGTTTATCCGAGGAATTCAAGACCAAGTTACATTTTTAAGATCATGGGAAAAATATTTAAACACACGTAATGCTAAATTATTATCGAGAGCTGCTTTACTTTTTAAATATTTTTATGATAAAGATTATGTTGAAGAAGATTCTGTATTGGAATGGTATGATCAAGCTAAGGATACTAGTGATGTAAAGAAAAGATGTGCTGTATTTGTTGAGTGGTTAAAAAATGCCGAAGAAGAAGATTAAGGGAATATTTTCGTTCCGTATTTTTTGTCTCTCATGGAGAAACTCAATATTATTATTATTATTATTATTTATTAATAACATTATTAAATTTATATTTTAACTTTGTTATATATATAATTTTATTTCTTTGAATTTGCCGTTCGGGTTGGATGAATTGCAAATTATTTTTCGATAAGCAATTACACGTGACTTCATTTGCATCTTAAGTTCGAAATTTTTAATTACATAATAAATTAATAAAAATAATTTATACATTATCAAATTCATCACATTTTATTAATTTCAACTAATTACCTAACAAATCATTCAAATACATTTTATTTTTAATTGTAGAAAAGTCTAAGAATTTTGAAATCATTTTATTTACAAATTAAGAAGTGCTAATTACATTAAATTTTTTATAAAAATTTGCCTAACTAATCTATGTTATTAATTTTATAAGAAAAAAAAGATTAATAAGGATATTTTGAATTATTACATAATATACAATATCATCGATTTTAACAATCTTTCATTTATGACACGTTATGAAGTTCATTATACAAACTGTCTCAATCTTCATATACGCCATCCCTAGCAGCACGCCATAACTCATCGTGTATGGTTTTGATTTCTTTCTCTAATTGCGAGTATTTTTGCATTAATTTGTTGGCGGTGGAACCTTCCCCAAATTGCTTCTCGATCTCCCTTAATAAAGTCTCTTGCGTGGATCCCTTTTTTATTGAGTTTATAAAACTATTATAAGAATTTTCAAATCCACTGAGATCCTCAAAAACTTTTTGAATATCGTTTTCCATTTCTTCACAACGTTTTCGTGCATACTTAAATTCTTTAAATGTATTTATTATTTGTCCAGGCTTCCACTCAGATGATATTGATTGTCCATTTTTTTTACTTATCCCTTTATCTTTCTTGCTAGAAGAGGAGTTAGTTCCTTCAGACATTGATAGTTGTTCATTATCGTGCTTGAAAGTAGTAGATGGTACAGCAGGCTTAGGAGCGGCTGAAGTCTTCGTCGTGGAAGTGTGGGTCTTTGTACTTCGTGATGACTTATTTGGTACGCCAGCAGGTCTTCCTCTTTTTGCTCGAGATGCCGTCGATTGCGCAGGAGGAGCATTTACTTTTTGTGCGTCAAATGCTATAGTTTTAGCACCTCGACCTCGTGTTGATTTTCCACCTCTGGTCGTTTTGCCGCCTCGAGTCGCGTTACTTCCTCGAGTGGAAGTGGACGACGCAGATGCATCGATACCATCATCATCATCGACGACTTCTGAGTTTATTCTAGGTCTGCCACTCCTTGCCTTGCCACGAACAGCTTTACCGCGAGCTGCCTTTGTATCATTTGAAGGTTGCGGCGCAGATTTATTCGATGATAAGTGAACAAAAGTCGTCGGTGGCGATGGTATTGCTTGCTGAACCTTTATTGAAGAACCAGCGTTATTCTTTTGACGTTTGGACTTTGCCTTTACTTCTTCTGAAGGAAGCTGATCGTATTCAAGAACTCGTATTCTAATAATCGATTTGAAAGAAAATGAATTAATAATAAATAATGGAATAGAAAATGCTGATAATTCGATTACTTACTTTCTTTTTTCTTTTGATTCTTTTTCATAACTTGCTTTTAATATTTTTTTGGCAACACGCTCTTTCTTAACGGCGATATGTGACTCGGCCGTATTTTTAGCGTACCCAACAACTTTGCCAACCAGCCCGATGCTGTTTTCATTTCCGTAGAAAGCCATCTCAGCCTTTTTACATCGAGAAAGATCTAATTGTATCTTCTCGGTTTCCCCGGTGGCGATTTCCTATTTAAGGTTTCAAATCAAAATTAATAAAATAATATAAGCATCACAGATAACGAATCATATAAACTGAATATACCATTTTATCGGAGATGTTTATTTTCATATGGGCACCCTTGGCATTTGCTGTCATCAACTTCATGAAAACAGCATTTGATAAAGTTACTCTGTAAACCTTCTTTTCACCATCAGACGACATACCAGGCCAATGAACGTTCGATATAGATGGTAAAGGTGGCGTATCTTTCTTTTCACTTCTTTTCTTCGAGGCAGTTTTTTCAACACCGCCATCCTTGGTGCGGTATAGTGGGTCCCTTCCTTTCCCACGATTCGTTTGAGCCGCACGAGCTACTACCGCACTTCTACTTGGAGAAGCACCTCTCACACGAGCCCCCGTTGAGCTTATAACGGGAGAAGCACCATCTCCATGAGTTGACATTGTGCCTCTAGTACCACGACCTGAAACGCCACCACGGTGTTTACCTCCACGGGTTGTTCCTCCACGAGTTAAATTAACCTTCTCCATTTTAAATAAATTCAAAAAAAGAAAAAAAAATCGGTTTACTAACTCATTCAGATTTGAAATAGAATAATAAAGAAAATTATTTTTGATTAATGACTTTTTTTTTTAAAAAAAAGAACTTTGATAAGAATGGATTTTTTATTTAGATTATAAGGTTTTCTTGTGATCCTTATATAAATTTATTTTATCATAATAATTTCTTTAAAAAACAAAAAAAATCTTTTATTAATTAAATTCATATATATTTAATTTAAATGCTAGATTAAAAACTTTAACAGACTTTTTGTTGAGACTTTTGAGACGCAGCAAATTTTGTGATCGACATGTTAGCATATATAGCATTTACAGTAGATAGTAGATATAGATAATTTTTTTCTTTTAGTCGTCTAGTAAAAAAAAAAAAAAAATTTTTTTCCCTAATCAAAAGTGATTTTATTCAACCATGTCAACCATGATAGACCAATATGAAGGTGCTATAGGAATTGACTTAGGGACTACCTATTCGTGCGTTGCTGTGTGGGAAAATGAACGCGTGGGTAAGTAGTAATAGTCAAAAAAATATATATTATATTAATAAATAATGGATAATTTACTTTTCCTCGTTATTTTGTAGAAATTATTGCTAATGAACAAGGGAACCGTACGACGCCTTCATATGTTGCCTTTGCTGAATCTGAACGTCTTATTGGAGACGCTGCTAAAAACCAGGCGGCTATGAATCCTAAGAATACAGTATTTGACGCGAAACGTTTAATAGGTCGACGTTTTGATGATCCGGAAGTAAAATCCGATATCAAACATTGGCCTTTTACTGTTATTGAAAAAGATGGTGCTCCTTTGATTCAAGTTGAATATCAAGGCGAGACGAAAAACTTTACCCCACAAGAAATATCATCAATGGTATTAACTCGTATGAAGGTATGATTAAATTACTTATGTATAACAAACCAAATTTTATGAATTATCATTTTTCATGATTTAAAATATTTGATTTACAGGAAATTGCTGAAGGAAAGCTAGGGAAAAAGGTTAAGAAAGCTGTTATTACTGTTCCAGCTTATTTCAATGATTCTCAACGTCTTGCCACCAAGGATGCCGGGAAAATTTCAGGGTTAGATGTCCTTCGAATTATAAATGAGCCAACTGCTGCAGCTATTGCTTATGGACTAGATTCTAAAGAAACAAAAGAAAAGAATGTTTTGATTTTTGATTTAGGTGGTGGTACTTTTGATGTATCTCTTTTGAATATATCTGGTGGAGTTTTTGCTGTCAAAGCAACCGCAGGAGATACTCATTTGGGTGGTGAAGATTTTGATAATAATCTCCTTGAATACTTTAAACAGGAATTTAAGCGTAAACATAAGAGCGATATGTCGGGGGATGCACGTGCTATACGTCGTTTGAGAACTGCTTGTGAAAGAGCAAAACGTACTTTATCTTCACTTACTCAAACCGCTGTTGAAGTTGATTCACTATATGATGGGATTGATTTTCAAGCCAATATTACTCGTGCTAGATTTGAGGAATTAAATTCTACTCAATTCAGTTCTACTTTAGAGCCTGTTCGAAAAGTTTTGAAAGATGCAAAAATGGAAAAGAAAGATATAAATGAAATAGTTCTTGTAGGTGGTTCTACTCGTATTCCAAAAATAATGTCATTACTTCAAGATTTTTTTGATGGAAAAGAATTGAATAAATCAATCAATCCGGATGAAGCTGTTGCTTACGGAGCCGCTGTACAAGCTGCTCTTTTAACAAATCAAGCTGGTAACGAAAAAACCCAAGACCTCTTACTCTTAGATGTGGTACCACTTAGTTTAGGTGTCGAGACTCAAGGTGGAGTTATGGCAGTAGTTGTACCTCGAAATACACCTATTCCAACTATAAAGAAAAAAATTTTTACAACAGCAGAAGATGGTCAAACTATCGTCGAATTTCCTGTTTATGAAGGAGAAAGACCAATGTGTCATGATAATAATTTATTAGGATCTTTTGAATTATCAGGAATACCTCCAATGCCTCGTGGAGAAGCTGAACTTGAGTGTACCTTTGATATTAATGCTGATGGTATTCTTAAAGTCACAGCAAAGGATAAAGCAACTGGACGTAAAGCTAATATTACAATTTCAAATTCGGCTGGTCGATTATCAGCCGCTGATATTGAACGTATGGTTGCGGAATCAGAAAAATTCAAAGAGGAAGATCAAAAGAGTCAAGAACGTGTAGAAGCTAAGCAAGAACTCGAGAATTATGTTTATCAAGTATGTATATAATTATATACTTTTTATTTTTCTCAATAATTGATTTATTTTCTTTTCTTTTCTTTTGTTTTAGATTGATAACACTCTTAATGAACCAAGTGTCGCGCTGAAATTGAAACGTAATGATAAAGAATCTATTGAGAATGCACTTGCAGGTTTTAATTCTTTTTGACTATGTTATTTAATGTTTTTATTTATATTAATTATTCTTCCATCTTTCGCAGAGGCACATGAATTTCTTGATCTCGCCAATGATTCGGCAATCAGTAAGGAAGATATCAATGCTACAAAAAAGAAATTACAACGTAGCGTTACTCGCGCATTCGCTTCACTTAATCGTTAAGTATTCTTCTCTACATTCTCTCTTATATAATGAAAAAAAAAAAATGTATTTTTCTATTGTAAAATGAAATTATGTATAATTTCATTATAAAAAAAACATATAATCTCTTTAAATACATTTCATCGAAGGCTTAGAATGTTTGATTTATCTCGGCATAACCGTTCCATTTGCAAAGCCGAACAATTGTTTGTTGAGGTAGATAGACATTATACATAATATTATAATATAGATCAATCTTTATTAATAAAATTGAACTTTAAAATTATTTTATTTGAAAAGTAAATTATATTCGGTATATACTACACTGATATTGATCTCGCAGTGACTTTTGTATTCCTATTCGCTTTTTTTTGTCCATTTCATATCTGATCTACATATTAGCTGTGCATTGGTGATTCGTCTGAATTTCCGATATAGCAACACGCGAATAAATAAATTAGCAAAAGAAATAAATGGTTATGGAATAATTATTCCAAACTCTAGTATTTCATATTTTCTCAAAGGTATCATAACAGCAACTTAAAATAATCAGACTATCATTTCGCCACATGATAAAGTTTACTTTGATAATCCAAGGTTAAAAAGACGTTCCGCATCTATGTTTGCGTGATAGGCAAGAACATAAACAAATCTCAGCCTGGTATTAAAAATTCTTTCTCCCGTTGCAAAACGGGTTCAAACTAGTTTATATTTTATACTTATATTGTAATTACAGTAGTGACGGAAAATAATGATAATATCATGTGACTTGATCAACATTGCTTACTGAAAATATGAATGGAGAACTTTATCGGGATATTTTCTTTTTACTAGTGCTACAAGGATCCTTGGAAGAAGGTAGACATACCAACAGGTTTCCAATTTTTTCATAAGTCATTGAAAAAGTTGTAAATATATTGGTTAACCTAAAAGGTATAATTATAAATTCGTATAATTCTTGATTGATGATAAAAATTTGTTATTCCTCAAGTGCAGCTAGATCTAATATAGGATGTGATGTTAACGGTTAAAGATAAACCGGTTTTAAACTGGTTGTATAACCGAACTGATTCGGTTTGGTTTCAAGATTAAGAACCACGATAAAAATCGATTTTTATCACGTGATTCAATATGGTTAGACCATTAGTTCAACCGACGGTTTAACTGAATTTTCAGCTGCAGTTTCAACCATAGTTGAAAACTTATTTAGAAGAATCTAAAATAATAAAGTTTTTATCATTATTTATCTAAAAAGAATTCAAAAAAGCATTAGTTTTTGAAACCAACGAAATAGAATTTTAATAACAAAATTTTTGTTTTTGCATATTAATTGGTTCTATTATTTATTACAATAATGATACATAAATAAAATAAAAAAATAATACTACAAATAGAATAAATTTATAATTGTTAAAGTATGCTTGCTCTTGGTCAGATATAGTTAGCCTATAACTGTTGATCCTAAACACTGCGTAGAGGTGATAAGCTTCGTTTAGGAAAAAAAATTTTTTTTTTTTAACGAAAATCAGAAAAAAAAACTATAAAAAAAACTGAATGTGAAATTAAAGAAGGAAATGGAAAAAGAAAAAGGAATGATAATAGTTGGAAAGAGTGACAGTTAAAAGTTTGTTTTAAAAAAAGAATGTCAATAGTTGGAGTGATAATTAGGTTTAAAAAAAAAAAATAATGTAAAGGAGTTTACAGTTTGTGTTGGTGTTTCAGTATTAGATAGTAAAGGTGATAATGTAAATCTTCGTGGAGAAGGAGGATTGGAAAAATGAGAATTATTTAAATTTTTTAGTAAAGTAAATATAAAATTTAGTTTAAAATAAGTTTAAAATATTTGAAACTTAAATAACAAAACTTACGGCACTCTAATTCAGATCGTCTTCTTTCTTCTACTCGAGAAATTAAAAAATAAAAAGTTGAATTTAACTATAAATATCAAACAGAATACATTTTTAAATACTTATTAGATTTTTTCCAAAATGAAGTTTTAAATTGCTTTCCATATTTTTCACCAACTTTACTTTACTTTCCTTTCAGATTTCCTTTCGCATAAAGTTCAAATAGCTAAAAATATTGATTGTTTATAATTTTTATTTTATACAATTAAATTGCTTGCTTTCTTAATCAGGATTTTACTTACTTTACAATCTTTAACCATCCCTTTAAATTTTGCTTAACATTGCACTGCCGTAACATCCGTATTAAATTCTTCTTTGATTTTCTTCGCAACTTCTTTTTAAAAAGGTAACTTTGATTTTCAAAGTGTGAACCAATATTTTTCACTTCTGTTTCTTTTTTCATCTATTAACAATTTAACTTCATTACGTCCTAATCGATTGTATTTGGTATTTTTGATAAATTGAAATTTAAAAATTGTTAAATTTAATTTTTTAATAATTAAAGAAAAAAGAAAAAAAATACTTATAAATTTATATAAAATTATATCGACATATGTTAGAAATTTGAAACATTTTCAAATGAGTAATTCTATTTAGTCAAAATTATCTAATATTGTAAAATCAATCGTAATTCTATTTTTATGTATTATATGTATTTCAATTTATAAAATTATCTAATAATTACAATTTTGATAAAATTACTAAATTTTTACGTGATTTCAAATTTTTATTTTTAGAAGGAAATACAAATTTCAATTATAACATTCTGATAATCATCACTGATTCACTTTTGATTTATCCTTAGATTTATTACTAATTAAAATTTCTGAATAATTAACAATTTTTTTTTAAATTTACATAATTTTTTAATTAAAATTTTGCAAAAATAATCCAATTTTATTGTTCTAATTTATATTTAATAAGAACTTTATTTTAAAAAAAATAGTTAAATTGGCATCAGAATCAATGCTATTAAATTATCATTTTTAGTAAGTAATACTAAATTATTATATTTAAACATGAAATGTTAGATTTTTAATCGCATAATGTTAGATTCTCAATTAACATTTTTTTTGCTCAACATGTCAGATAACGAAAATACTAGTATAAACTTTAAAGAAATAGAAGACTTTGATTTTGATTTTGATGATGATACAAATGAACCATCTATTTCTGAACAACAAAAGGAAAATAGTACGAATATACTTAATATTAATAAAAATAAAGGAAAAACTACTTCAACTGTTTGAGAATATATGTATAAAAATATGATGATATGAATAAAGTTGTAGTAATAATTTGTAATTTATGTAAAAAAGAGTATAGTCCTAAAATATCAATACGACCTCTAATGGATCATATATCCAAAAACATAAACATAATATTTCAATAAAGCAACAAACGTAACTTCATTTTATTAAAAATCCATATGGCAAATTTGATGCAATAAGAGTTAAAGATTATACAAATGCCACTATTGATTTTGTTATTAGATCTCAAATGTCATTTTCTATTGTAAAAAGTTCTTAGTTTAAAAAGTTATGTAATGTTTTAGATCAAAGATATGTTTTACTATCATATTAATATTTGTAAAATAAATAATTAATAGATTCACAGATCATCGTTCTTTAGTTGCCGATGAACTTAAAAATCTCTTAACAAAAGTATCTTTTACTACTAATGTTTAGACTTCAATTACAGATCAAGCTTACCCAGGAGTAACTATTCATTATATCAATGATAAATGGAATATGCAACATTTACTTTTTAATTTAATTCACTTTGAGCATCATTATACTAGTGTTAGAATAAAGAAAAAGCTTCTTCAATTAATAGACGAAATGAATCTTAATAGAAAAATTCTTTCTCTTACTATGGATAATAATGCAATAATAGTTCTTTGTGATAAAAATATGACAACTGAATTTGGAGAAACTTGGAATGATAAAGAGTTTTAATATTTCTCATGCATAGCACATGTTTTAAATATCGCAATTAATCATAGAATGCAATTAAGAACAGAAATTATTGATAAGGTTAGAACATTTATAAATAAAATCCGTTATTCTACTATTCTTTGTAATACACTTTACAGTTATTATAAAGTAATAAAAAAGGATTATCTTAAACCTAATCTTGATGTCACTACATGATGGAATAGCACATTTTTAATGTTAGAAAAGTTTAAACGAATGCATAAAGAATTTGATTTTCTTATTTATAGCAATAAATAGTTAGAGACATTTTATCTTAATGAAAATAAATAGAATCAAGTACAGTCAATGATTGTCCTATTAAAATTAATGTATAAGGTAACAAAAATTCTTTCTTCAAGTTCGTATCCAACTGTTAGTGATATTAGATTAACTTTTACAAGAATTCTTCGACATATTGAGATATATATTGATGATCATACATTAGAAAAATCTATTTTGGCAGATTCTATATGCAAAAAAATTGATGATTATTGGAAGTTACTTGATTCCTCTACAACTATTTCAACTATTTTTAATCTAAATTCAAAATTACTTATTTTTCCATTTGGAGAATAACGTAATAAAGCAATAAATCAATTTCATTCAAGAATGCTTATGTATATACCATCACAAGATTTAGATAATTCAAATTATATTGTAAAAAAAAATACAAATGCTAGATCATTTTTTGAAATTTTAATTATGCAATAACAAAATGAAACGCAACTATTAGAAGGAGAATTAGAAAGATATTTAACTTTACTATTAACACAATCTGAGTCATTATCTTAGTAACATCAATATGCAAACAAATTTCTGATTTTATCAAAACTGGCACATAATTATCTTGCCATTCAAGATACTAGTGTATCAAGTGAACAAGCATTTTCAGTTGCATCACATACTATAACAAAAGTTCAAAATCATCTTAATCCTAATACAGCTCGTGTTTCTTTGTATTTAAAAAGCTAAATAGAACAAAATGCTGGTTCAGTTAATAATAAAATTATTTGAACTTGTTATTTCTGATTTATAGTATTTTTAATAATGCTATTTTATCAATAAATATAATAAATGAATTTATCAAACAGATTACATTTTTTTAAATAATTATTAAATTTATTTTAAATTTAAGCAT